CACTAATATCAGGAGTGTCTAGGCACAGGAAGTGCACTGATATCAGGAGTGCCTAGGCACAGGAAGTGCACTAATATCAGGAGTGCCTAGGCACAGGAAGTGCACTAATATCAGGAGTGCCTAGGCACAGGAAGTGCACTAATATCAGGAGTGCCTAGGCACAGGAAGTGCACTGATATCAGGAGTGTCTAGGCACAGGAAGTGCACTGATATCAGGAGTGTCTAGGCACAAGAAGTGCACTAATATCAGGAGTGTCTAGGCACAGGAAGTGCACTGATATCAGGAGTGCCTAGGCACAGGAAGTGCACTAATATCAGGAGTGCCTAGGCACAGGAAGTGCACTAATATCAGGAGTGCCTAGGCACAGTAAGTGCACTGCTTTATTTCAGGAGTAATTCAAGACAAATGGAAATCTTTCAGGGCGCTGGTTACAGGCAATTAGCATCTCCAGACGTTCCCTATAACACAGCGTAGCACTTTTTGAGCTCAGGTCCCTTTAAATGCAAATTTAATAGCAATTTTTTTCCCGGAGCATGCTTATTATCGCTATACATCTTGCTGCAATTGGTAATATGAATACATAAATGATTTTTTTTTTCTGTTTACTGTACTGAAAAAAAGACAGATAAGATCAATATTTGCAGGAATGGCTGCTCAGTGTATCATGACCTCAGTAAATTGCTTTTGTAGGAAGAAATGTTTTGGGATAATTACGAAAATGCACTTATGGGATTCATCATCATTATCATCATAGGCTTCACGTGGTGATAACCTCCAGTCAGCAGACGGTGCAGGGGGATCGGTGGATCGTTATGGCGACGTTATAGACTCCTCTTATGATAATGATTGAAGAGAGAACCCCAAAATATCATTGAGATTTTACGCTATGAGTGGAGCCGGGTGGGCGGAGTCAGCTTCTTATGTGTCCTGAATAGTCCAAGACCGAGAGCCCCCTTCTCGAATTCCTGACTCTGTTCCTGTCCACCTGGGAGCTTTAGGTGTATTTGTTCACCTCTGTGTGTGTTCCAGCTTCTTCTCTTACATCCCCCTATAATATAATGTAGCCGCCATCACCTTCTGTGATGTGGCTACTAGACATTTAGTGGTAGCCGGGGCTGTAGTCGGCCTGGCTGGATTTATAGTGGCAGTTATATGGTTAATTCCAGGTGTCTGGCATTGCCTGTACCCCCCCAGGGCGGAGTGTGACTCTGTGGGTGTATGTACAGTACAGCAGCCAATCACTGGGTTTCTCTCAGCCAGTGGTGCATGCTGGGATAGGGAACATATACTGGAGGGATTTGCCATGTGCTCAGACTAGTTCGGGACCAGCCATGGATTAGGGCTGGGTGCTGTTCAGCCTGCCCCCCCCCAGACTAGGACTGAGACCTGGGGGTGGGCAAAGGCTGGTGTGAGGGAAAAGTTTCCCTGAGGCCTCCAACATGGAGGAGGTCTGTGTTGCTGTCAGAGGAAGAGATCCAGGACCAAGGACAGCTCATGAAGTTTCCTGGAACCTAAAGAACTGCAGGAGTATGGCAGGTGTCTCTCCTGTTGAGGATCTGTATTCATCCGGCTCATCTGTTACATCAGTGGCTGTCCGCTGCCTCCCAAGTGGATCTACACTGATATCCCCCATCCCCCATATCCTCTCTCCCCAGTGAAGATGTTCAATAAAACATTATTCAGCATTATACTGCTGGAGTGGACATCAGTCTGTGGGCACTAGAAGAAGAGTGGTTAATGCTAATGGGTGGGCATCTGAAGAACATCCCCTAGACAGACTATAGATGGACCGGGCATTCTGCGGCTCCTTCGGGGGTAGCACTACAATACATTGTGCACAGCGGGTGTACAGATCCAGGAAATCAGCACAGGGATGGTGGGAGCCCCTAATAATGGGCACAGCAGGTGTACAGACCTGGAAGCTCAGCACAGGGATGGTGGGGGCCCCTCATAATGGGCACAGAGGGAGTACAGACCCGGGAACTCAGCACAGGGATGGTGGGAGCCCCTCATAATGGGCACAGCAGGTGTACAGACCTGGAAGCTCAGCACAGGGATGGTGGGGGCCCCTCATAATGGGCACAGAGGGAGTACAGACCCGGGAACTCAGCACAGGGATGGTGGGAGCCCCTCATAATGGGCACAGCAGGTGTACAGACCTGGAAGCTCAGCACAGGGATGGTGGGGGCCCCTCATAATGGGCACAGAGGGAGTACAGACCCGGGAACTCAGCACAGGGATGGTGGGAGCCCCTCATAATGGGCACAGCAGGTGTACAGACCTGGAAGCTCAGCACAGGGATGGTGGGGGCCCCTCATAATGGGCACAGAGGGAGTACAGACCCGGGAACTCAGCACAGGGATGGTGGGAACCCCTCATAATGGGCACAGCGGGTGTACAGACCGGGGAACTCAGTGAAGGGAAGGTAGAAATCCCTCATAATGGGTCACACCCATTTTCTGGGTTGATTGATCCTTTATAAATATCAAAGATTCCTTCTTTTTAATTTTCTCCAAAAATTAAACATGAGCTCCATTTGGTCACTGTGGGCTAATGCGTCACTATCGTTGAGATCCTAAAAGACGTCTTCACTTTTAGTGGCTCCTAAGTGGTGACCACCTGTGGCTATTCTTACCTTCGGCTCTCCTCCTAAATGCCTCAATTTGCATCCCTTGCTGGTCCACCGGGCAGCCTTGGCCATGCCAAGCCACTTGGCTCATCCATTCCTATGGCTGAAGGCCACCATGAGTATGGAGAAGCTATAAGAAGGAATTCACCAAGCACACCACCTGCTGATGGTTACTCTATAATGGTGGGAATATGACATCACAGTGACGTCAGAAAGGGTGTGGGGGTGTGGTTTGATTGGTTCTACAGTTGTGTATACATTGTCTGTTATTCTACAGTTACAGGGTTATTCACTCAGCTGCCGGAGTCAGCCGAGTGAATGACCGGGCCGAAGTGAACAGAGCCAAACGCTGTTTGGCTATTTACTCCGGCTCAGTACGGCTGATCTCAGCCGTACATTGGCTGCCTTAGGTCAGCCAAACATTCTCTGCATGTTCGGCTGAGCCAAAGTGCAGAGGAACTTCGACTCGGCCGATCCAACGTCTGGATCGGCTGAGCCGAAGTTCTGGCAGCTCACTCGCTGCCGTTCGCCCCCTATTCTCATATATTCTCATAGGGGCCGAACGGCAGTGAGCGAATAGCCGAATGCCTCTGAGCGGCATTCGGCTCGGCTATTCTGCTCGGTACCTCCGTGGTACCGAGCAGAATAGAAAAGAAGTGAAAATAGTCGGAAAAAAGAAAAAAAGCTTGAAAAAAATGTTAAAAATTTTTAAAAAAAATTAAAATTAAAAAAGAAAAAAATATATTTTTTAAAAAAAGAAAAGAAATAAATAATAATAAAAGAAAAATAATTGGGCCGGAGCTAGCAGTGACAGCTAGCTCCGCCCAACTGTTTCCTATTGGCCGGCACCTGCTAGAGTCTTCCAAAAGGTCCCGGCCAATGAATGACAACTGGGCGGAGCCAGCCGTGACTTCACAGTCGGCTCCTTTCAGTTGTTATTGTTTAATGACAGGTCAGCGTCCCCAGGTCATTTGGGGACGCTAATCTGTCATTACACCAGGGCGGAGCCAGCAGAGAGATCACGGCTGGCTCCACCCAGCTGTCATTTGCATGGAAATCGGCCGTCGACCTTTCTCCTTGCTTCAGCCGTCACTTCGGCTCAGCCGAGCCAAAGCATATGCCTTCGGTTCTGCTGAGCCGCTCGGCCGCCTTCGGGAGCTGTACGGGCTGTTGTGAATAGCCCGTACACCAGCCCTTCGGTTCGACTGAATCAAAGCGCTCTGGCGGCCGAAGAGAGAAGAAGGATCAGCCGAAGCTACGGCTGGATCCTTCGTGAATAACCCCCTTAATTTAATAAGCAATTGTATTTTTATATCCTAAACGATTTTAATTTGCAGAGAACATTTTCTTCAGATACCAATTCTCGGTGAGCCGGCCCTTTAAGAGATATACATATTACTCTCTTTATTTGTGTCCTCCCGTTACCCTAAGGAGAACTATGGGGAAAAACACTGACCCCATAGTTCTCCTTTAATAGAATTTTGTAACTATTTTGCACTCCTGTAACAAAACAAAACAAAAAAAATGTTTAAAACCAAAAGCTCATCTCCCGTGTGTCATGTTTGAAAGATGTTTTGTTCTTAAGTTTGTTTGAGGTAATAACCGCCATTTCTTCTATCATTTTCCCGATAATCTGTCCGCGGGGGGCTCTGTTCCGCTGCTTTGAGGAACAATTACAGCCCATGTAAAGTGATAATAATCCCTAATTATAAACAGGGTGTAATTTATCTTTAAAGGGAACTCATAATACATCAATAAAACGTGGCTGCGAGCCGTAAAAGTGCCGCGGAGCCCCTCCGGCTGCAGGGAAATGCCATGGGACGGTGCCTGGAAATAGGCTGAAATATCTTTTGCCTGGCATGCGATGTTTACGGCTCAGCTTGTTTGTGAAGTCTCCTGGCACGGAATTATATATTACGGCGTGCAATTTGATTTGTGTGTTGTCGTACACCCTTCTGAACAGGAGGATATCGATCGGCGGGTCCGGCTAATTGAAAGCGGTAGAATTGGGATGTCTGGGGGTCAGTCTGGGCTGAAGTGCTCTTAAGGGGGTAATAGCAATTGATGGGGCTCTACAGCAAAACATTGATGCCCCTCATGGGTTTCCAAAGCTGAATGTAGGGCGGTGAGTGTGCCAAGGTGAGAAGTGGGAGCCTGCCATAAAGAGGATTGCCCACTGGAGTGTGGATGGAGAGAGAGAGAGGGGGAGAGAGAGAGAGAGAGAGAGAGAGAGACAGAGAGGAGAGAGAGAAGGAGGAGAGCAGAGAGAGGGGAAAGGGGGAGAGGAGAGAAGAGAAGAAGAAAGAGGAGAGAGAGGGGGCGATAGAGAAAGGGGCAGGCAGAGGGAGGGGAGAGAGAGAGAGAGAAGAGAGAGAGAGAGAGGGAGAGACAGAAGAGGGGAGAGAAGAGAGAGAGGGGAGGGGGAGGAGAGAGAAAGAGAGGAGAGGGAGGAGAGAGAGAGGAGAGGGAGGAGAGAGAGAGAGAGAGAGAGAGAGAGAGAGAAAGCAAAAGGTTCAGTGGTTAGGTTGAGGCGGGATAGGAAGAGATGAGTGTTCAGGGATTGCCGATAGCTGGACAGGGTAGGAGATAGCTGGACAGGGTAGGAGATAGCTGGACAGGGTAGGAGATAGCTGGACAGGGTAGGAGATAGCTGGACAGGGTAGGAGATAGCTGGACAGGGTAGGAGATAGCTGGATAAGGGGGAAAGGGAAAGACAGAAGAGAGGAGAGAGAGTCGGGAGGGGGGGAGAAGAGAGAGAGAAAGAGAGGGAGGAGGGAGAGCGAGGGAAAGACAGAAGAGAGAGGGGAGAGAGAGAGGGGGGAGAGAAAGAGAGAGAGAGAGAGATAGATGGCAGGAAAGGGAAAGATAGAGAAGAGAGGTAGAAAGAAGAGAGAGTGATGAAGGGAGAGAAGAGAGCTAAATCTCAGATATTCACAGTGCTGTTCACTCTGCAGTGTCTTTAGGAAATATATAGTATGAATGTTTTTTTTATTTTTCCTTTATGTATGCCGTACCATTATCATTCTTTTTTACCCGGTAAATATAAAGTGTTGCGTGTGTATATTTTATATTACCACTTCCAGCCACAGTGGGGATCTGTGCAGCAACAAGGTCTGTGACGCCTCTCTCTGCACCTTCCTCGGCACATTCCTGTTGTAGGCTACAATATGACATGGCAGCGCATGTAACCTCCTCCACCTAGTACGTTGGCCGGGGTGCATGCGCATTGCTGAAGGCAGTGCAAATAATCCTGGCATGTGTGATTTGAGGCAGCAGTGTACATGGCTGCGGTTTTACATGCGCTGCTGAAACCTCAGACTGGAAGTTTAGGACTATAACTGGATCTGTTAAAAAAAAAGTGAAAAAAGTAAAATAAAAAAAAATGAATGGGACAATACACAAATACAGAAGAAGAGGATACAAAATACAGTAAGGGGTTCATTTATAAACCTTCTGCAGAGCACATTATGGCCACTAGATGGAGCCTCTCTCTCCCCTTTCTCTCTCCATTGCGTGACATGCATGCTAGGCTGTCTAAAAAAAAAAAGAGAGCCCAGCACTAGCTTTTCACTTTTCTGACATTCTAGTTTCCGTACCAGCTACAGAAAAAGAAAATGACAAAAAAGACAGCTTACCAGACATGACGCAGCACTCGGAAGCTGAGACGCATGGTCTGTGTCTTCCAGCTCTGACAGATTATTAAACGATATTGATCGGCACAGCCGGTGAATCTGATCGCGAAAGCCATTTAATAAAAGTTGACCAGCCGCTGGCCGCTTGTTTATGCAACTGCTAAGCACAACCCTGGAAATGCATAAGAGACTGGATGTG